ATCTTCTCTGGATTGACCTCAATCCCTCTTTGAGACACCATGAAACCTAGAAACTTTCCGGACTCCACTCCGAAGATGCATTTGGTTGGGTTCAACCGTATCCTGTTCTTTTTGAGGTTGTTGAAGGTTTAGTTGAGATCAGCTAGATGGTCTTCCGCTTTCCGGCTCTTTACTACGATGTCATCGACATACACCTCTAGATTCTTGCCAATCTGAGCTCGGAAGACGATGGTCACCATTTTCTGATAAGTAGCACCAGCGTTCTTTAAGCCAAACGGCATCATGACATAGCAATAAATTTCATCGCCAGCATAGAACGAGGTTTTCTCTTCGTCTTTGGGAGCCATCGGCACTTGGTGATATCCAGAATATGCGTCCAAGAGGCTTAACCTCTCATTGCCTAAAGCCGCTTCAACTAACTTGTCAATGCTCGGCATCGGATAGCAATCCTTGGGGCAAGCTTGGTTAAGATTTGTGTAATCAATGCACATTCGCCATTTACCGTTTGCCTTCTTCACCAGGACTGGGTTAGCCACCCATTCGCAGTAATCAACTTTCCTGACGAAACCAGCTTGTAGAAGTTTCTCTACCTCTTCTTTAATAACCTGAAGCCTCTCCCCCCCAAAGAGACGCCGCTTTTGGGCCACTGGTTTCTTCAATGGATTGGTGCTAAGCTTGTGTTGGAATATTGATTTCGGAATTCTTGGCATATTGGCCGAAGTCCATGCGAATACATCATTATTAGCTCGGAGAAAGGTTATTAACTCTGCTCGCTCCTTTGGGTTCAATCTAGTTCCAATCTGCGTCTTTCGGCTCGGATCTCTATCATCAATGAGCACCTCTTCAACATCTTTGACCGGAGCAGCTCTGGTTTCATCTTCCGGGCGATTATCGACGATCTCAACGCCTATAACTTGCTGATTATTGAAAATTGGTTGGGGAATGGCCTCGGATGTCGGATCTTTGCCCTTCATAGGTTGTGTTACGGAGGTGATATAACAATGTCTGGCCACCTCCTGGTTTCCTCGCAGTGTTGCTATTCCCGTAGGAGTCGGGAACTTCATACAGAGGTGAGACTGGGAAACCACAGCTCGGATTTCAGTCAGTGTGGGTCGGCCAATAACAATGTTGAAGGAGGACGCCATTTTGACTACGAGGAACCGGACTGAAGGAGTCACATAGGTCTTGCCACTCCCGAAAGCCACATGGAGGGTAAGAACTCCTTCTACCGGAACAGGCTGGTTGTTGAAGCCATAGATAGGACCATCATATTTCTGCAACAATGCTGGATCCAGTCCCAGACTCTCGAAACAGTGGAAGTACATGATGTCTGGTGCACTCCCAGTGTCAACAAGGACACGCTGTACTTCACAGTTATTAATCATGACAGAAGTGACCAAAGGATCATTGTGGGGTGTAACAATTGTATCGAGATCAGCAGACATGAAAGTAATAGGCTAATTTTTCCACTCAGCATCGTCGATCTTTCGCTTCTGAGCTCAATTTTGATGTTTAATCTCTCTGACATACAGCTATCGCTGCTTAGAGCTCAATCCACCTGCTTCAAGGCCTCCCGTAATCATGTGTATGATTCTGGCTGGGGGTGGGAGCGGAGGTGGGGCTTGCTGATATCCCACACCTTGCCTATTTGGGGGATTGTGGACTCCTGGGGGCTGCGGCCTTTGTTCTCTAATAAATCTCGGCTGTTCAGTTCTCTGAACATACTCATTTAGCATTCCCTTCTGAGCTAAACTTTCCAGTTCGGACTTTAAGCTGTTGCACTGCTCTGTAGTATGGCCATGATCTTGATGAAAATCACAATATTTGGTGTAGTCTCGACTAGCAACAGCAGTTTTCATTGGGCCAGGATGCCTTAAATCCATCTTATTCTTGATCTGCATAAAAATTTGTGGCCTCAGCAAATTAAAGGGAGTCCAATTAATTGGAGGTTTACCTGTAGATTGTTGCGGGGGTGTTGAGTTCGGCTTTCCGAATCTCGGTGGAGAGGTCAACATCGGACCTCGGTTCTGTGCCATCCTCATCCTTTTCCTGCTCAGATTGTCATCTCTCCAATCTGGGTGCTGGTTCTTAGTGGGAGGTGGGTTTTGCGCCAGGGCGTACTCCTTAGCAGTTATAAATTTCAGAGACCTATCGTTCACCTCGCTAAAGGTGGTGGCAGCATGTTTGATCAAACTGTCTCTGAACCTGTCATGCTTGAGACCGGAGATTACAACTGCGATTCCCACAGCTTGATCAAAGGAACTAACCTCTAAAACTGCATCATTACACCTGCTCATATAATTCTTCAAAGATTCTCCATCCCTCTGTTTAACTCGCATCAGCTCAGAAGTAGTTTTCCTAATCAACCTTCTACTAGAAAACTTAGTGGCAAAGGCAGATGCCATCTCTGTATAAGAGCTAATTGACCTTGGAGGTAAACTGTAATACCAAGTTCAAGCATTACCTCGGAGAGTAGAGGGGAAGATTTTCCACATTAACGCGTCAGAGGCGTTCTGAGCTTGCATGCAAGAGTAGAAAGCATGCAAATGATCATCAAGATCCTTTGTCCCGTCATAAGTCTCCAGTTATGGTATTTTGAAGCCAGCAGGATAGGGTTCCAATGTAATGTTGGTATTCAGAGGGTGAGGTATGGAGTCAGCAGTATGGTGTGGGGGTGGAACGCCTTGGTGTTCAGCTACTAGCTTTTCCAAGCTATCGAGGCGTCAAGTGACATCATCAGGGATGGGTTGTTGAGCAGGTGCGATGTGGGATTGACCCTAAGATTCACTAATAGCGGGAGC